GAAGATATGTCTTCCTGACATCACATGTGTGGTCCACTTCCTGTCTCCTGTTTTTAGTTATTAGGTTGGTTTGAATCCTCAATCTGGCTGGACGACACCTGGGGCCGGACCAATCAGAACAGTGACACAAGAAAAATACAGTTTTACATTTTACGCAGCTTCTTAAAATCACCCATCTTAGTGATTACTGTGGCATAGTGGTGGGCTTAACACAATATGGCCATAGTTAACTGAATCCCCATATTTGTTTAAGATTGGTGATTTTAAGTTGTGTATTAAAATTGTATTTTTCTTGTGTTTACACATTCACCTAATTTGTATTTTGTATATATTTTACGGCAGTACTGCTACTTGGAAAAGCATGTTCCAGGTGTGCCCCCAATTCCTCTTTTTTGGTGTTTTTTTTTTTTTGAAAATTAGTTTTTATTTATTTGTAGGTTCATCGTAAGTTAAACAGTAAGACTCGAAGGTCTAATCATTTATATAACATTTGCATAACATAAACAAGGCTCATGTTATAATGGGACTCACAGGTCCGAGTCGACTTTCTGGGGAGTAGATATAGTTAACCTCTCCCTACCTTAGGGTACATATATGATCACTTCTGCTATAACATTGAATTTATCACCTTAGTTTTTGTGAAACTCCAGGTTTCAATCTTAAGTGGAAACTTAAAGATATTATGTAGCTTATATTAATTGCTCGGGGTCTAGTTTCCCTCCATGACGTTTACCTATGGCAGAGGCCGAGTGTTGCTTAGCTTTCTCTGCACCTCCTCTGTGGTGCCTGAATCCGTGTCCTTAGCTGTTAGGTGTTGATGTTCTGTTGAAAATGGGAGTCTCTGTTGTGCGCGGGTGTGATGGGGTGTGTGTCTATCTAATTGCTATATGTTTGTTTTGTTTTGCTTTATTCCCGTCTAATTGCCAGGTATCCAAGCCACAGAGTGTCCTGGATCACTGTGCCACTGATCAGGTATCATTGTCTTTTGTCATTTTCCATCTTCTATTTCTTGTTTTGTTTATCCTTATTACTCTCCAAGTTTATTATGCTATTTGTCTGTCTCATAATCGGCCCGTCTGGCCTCGATCCCGGTTCCCCCAGGCCTGGTAGGGGGAGGGAGTAAGGAAAGGGTTAGGTGCAGGGGGTAATGGGCAATCAGGATATGCGGGGTGTGATTCCTCCCGTAAGGCTCGCGTCAGTCGGTACGGCTCCATCACGACGGTAACGGGAGATGTATAAGAACCATGGCATCCACAGATCCGCACGTGTAGAATATTGCATATTCTATGTTTCTATTGAATATATATATGGATGTGTGGATTGACATAAGTAACAGATGGTATCAATAAGTCACAAGGCTTTCTTTGTCCGAGAGCTCTGGAATGTGGATTCGGGGTCTTTTCCTTATATGGCTAGAGTTATATGCTGACGTTAGTATTAGCACTTCTTTATAGTAACAGAGGGACACGAGGTCACTCTGTCTTGGTTTGAGTCTTGGCTCTGTACAACGATGTAACTCTCCCATAAGAAGTCCAGCAATTACCATCTGCTGTTGAATGTCCACTATCCTGTAACATCATTTATTATGTTTTATTATGTATCCGTAACAAAGAATAAACCTGAAGAAACCGTAAGTCAGATTGCGTATTACTACTTTTCAATAATATAGACATATATTATTGTGGCGAGCATTTGGCCCAAGAATATATATACAAAAGACGTATATATATATATCAATCAACTGAAGATAAGAAGAAATTAAGAAGATTCTACATTAACACCAATCTCATCTACATTTTACAGCATGCCTGGTTCCTTGTCCTGTCAAGGTAGCATGTGCTTCTTCTGCTCCCTGAATATCTTCTACTCTGCGAATCCACTCTTTTCTAGTAGGTACTTCACTCTTTTTTCAGTGGGTTGGTATGTTATCCTTGGCGGCATTAAGCAGGTGTCGTAATACTGATTTCTTGTACAACGATATGGGTTGTGTCGAGATGTGTAACAATGCCAATTCCGTATTCCACTCCAGTATGTCTCCCAGGATAAGCTTCACTGTGTCCCTAATCATTTCCCAATATGGGGTGATATCTCTGCACTCCCACCAGATGTGTAGCACCGTGCCGCGTCTTTCCTGGCACCTCCAGCACACCTGGGGAATTGATGGGAATATTCGGTGTAGTAAAGTTGGTGTTCTATACCATAGGGAGAGCAATTTGTAATTAATTTCCTGGTAATAGGAACTCATAGAGCTCTTATGCTGCCACAACATCGCTTTATCCCATTGTGAGTGATTTTCAGAGTTGTTCCTCCCATTGCCGTTTAAACATCGTAGCCGTAGGCGTGCCTCCGATTAGTAGATGTTGATATAGTGCCGAAATTGCGTGTTCTAGTGAGGTGCCTCGGTCGCAGAGGTCTTCAAACCACGTAAGGTCTCAATGTAGTCGATCTTTGTGCAGTAGTGATTCATAGAAATGTTTCAGTTGTAGGTATCTAAATTGGAGGAGAAGGGTTTGTGGCCTGTCTCCTAAAGGCGAGGGAAGATCCAGCAGTCTCCCGTCCTCGAGGTTCCTTTTTTTTTTTTTGGTCTTATCAGACCTCTTCAGGGGGCTGCATATAGGGCTAGATTGATTTACTGTCTAGGAGTAATAGTTTTTGTGGACATATTGTCATATTCAGTGTCTCCCTTTTCTAATGATACCTCCTCCCCTCGTCCTGACTTGGCTGGAGTTCCCCAAGGCTCTGTCCTTGGTCCCCTTCTATTTTTTCTTTATACTGCCTCTCTTGGCAAACATATTACCTCATTTGGATTCCACTACCACCTGTAGTTGATGACACCCAGATATACCTCTCCTCCCCGGACCTCTCCCCTGCCGTCCTGCAACGTGTCACTGCTTGTCTTTCTTCCATCTCTGATTGGATGTCCTCCCGCTTTCTGAAACTCAATCTCTCTAAAACTGAGCTCCATGTCTTTCCTCCTCCTAATACTGATCCTGCTCTTTCGCTCTCCCTTCAAGTCAGTGATATCTACATCAGTCCACCCTTGCAAGCGCGCTGTCTTGATTCTGGCCTCACCTTTGAGCCTCACAATTCTGTAGATTTCATCTTAACAACATAGCAACTTAACAACATAGCCCGCATCCGCCACTTTGTTACGCAAGATGCTACCAAGGAGCTTGTCCATGCTCTAGTAAACTCTCGCATGGATTATTGTAACCCTCTTCTAATTGGTCTCCCCAAAAGCCGCATTGCTCCGCTTACAGTCTGTAATAAATGCTGCCCCAGACTGATTTTCCTCTCTAGTCAGTCAGACCTCTCACACCTCACCCCTCTGACAGGCCTTACATTGGCTTCCTGTATCTTATAGGAGTCAATTCAAGGTACTAATTCACACCTATAAAGCACTGACCAATTCTAGCCCCTCCTATATCTCTTTACTGATCCACAGGTATGTCCCTTCTCGGTCTCTCCGCTCTGCCCATGACCTTCTCCTGTCCGCTGCTAGCACCCATACAGCTTGCAGTACTTCTCATGGGTTGCTTCTTTCCTTTGGAATAGCCAGCCTACCACCATCATCTTACTCTTCAATCGTGTAAAAAGTGCCTTAAACTTCATCTCTTTATGAAAGCTCATGGCCTCCCAGAGTAACCTCTACCTCACATACCTGTCCCTTGCTCTCTCCTAAAGGGCAGCACTCTTTTTCCTCCTCCAGCTCGGCTTCACTCCACCTTGTTTGAGTGCTATCTCCTGTCCTGTTGGGTTTTACGCAACACCTCCTATAGACTGTAAGCTCGTTTTAGCAGGATCCCTTCTCAATATATTATTTCTGTAAGTTTTTGTAATTGTCTCATTTATTGTTAAATCTCCCCCTCTGATAATCTTGTAAAGTGCTATGGACTATGTTGGCGCTATAAAAATACCAGTAATAATAAGAATAGGTAAATGGCCTGATTGATTGTAGCAGTCCAGGGCCAAACAGATGGGCTGTCAAGGGGATGATTTTGGAGCCAACTGAAGAGTATTAACCAAAGGACGAAAACCAGTGGTCAGACAAGGGTGCTATGAATAGGATCTGCATCACAATGCCTATCAATAGGGTCCCTGGCTTCTCCATCTCAAAGTTCAACAACATCAAGTGATGCTTCATCTTCACATCCCCTTATTTGAATCCTGAATGAAGTCATTTGAAGATTGCCCAGATTAGTAAACACCATTTCCACACATATTCTGGCTACACCAAACTGATGTAAAATAAAGAGACTTTTACAGGAATACCTTGATGTTTTGTGATTTTCTCATGGGTGCAGATTGATGAGGTCTGTCTGAAGCTGGGTCGATGGCCTGCCTCTGATGCCACATTCACAAAACATGTCCAAGAGCCTGGATTAATGAGCCAAACTGATCAACTGCAGTGGCTTTAGTGCGAGGCAAAGTTGCTGTCTAGGATACTAGATTGATGACTTGACCTGGGCTAGCACGGAATCAAACATGCTAGCCTGTCAAGAAGTCAGACCAATGGGACTAAATCTGCAGGAGGCTACTGGGATTAGACTTGTGTATGCTAGTTTTGAATCTAACTTTCTATATACTTGTGAATTGTAACCTCTAGATACCACTGTTGTCCAGTTTGAAAGAAAGCACCCATGTTGCTTGTTTTATAAAGCATTTGTACATTCAGTACACGCAGACCCTTGGGATTTCAATACAAAATGAATCAAAAGTAATTTGCCAACATACAGCTCCGTTAGTTAGAGACACGCACATGATATTAGAGACACGCAAATGCAGATTATTGAATAAACCAAACAGGACAACATTAGAAAAGTGTATTTTTAAATGTTTTCTAATCTACGTGTTTGCTGGTGATTGGAGTAGCTCAACGTATAGGTAGAACAAATTACCAGTTTGTTTTACTTTATTTGTGAATGGCAGCCCTCCACGTCAAGTAAAAAAAAAAAAAAAAACAATATATACAGAGAAATACTCTAAGAACACACCAAAGACAGGGAGAATGGTGAATGTTTTTAATTGGATTTTGAAACAGTCCATAAAGCAGAATTTTATTTTTCACGATCTACAACAGCATTACATATGCCCTGCCTTAGAACCATGCTGAGATTACAGGGTTATAACCAACACACTGCTTAGTGATACACAAAGTTAATTATATGCTGGCTAAATCCTAAAATGGTCAGCATTGAGGCTTTCTAGAACTGAGGCAGACAAACCTTGTACAATTAAAATCAAATACTCTGGTGACAAATTAATATTTTAGCAATCTAGCAAAACATACCCTCAAGATGTCTGATAGTTACTCCAATTCTATTATTAATTGTAGAGAGCTAAAATCATCAGATGACAAAGCGAACAAGGGCAACTTTGAATTATTACATTTCAGTAGATTTCTAGACAGAGGTGGCTAAAAAACATCATGGGAGATTCAATTCTAAACTAGTTGTGGGTCTACCGATTGGCCATCCTGCTCTAAAGTGCATTATACAGTCCTCCTGTAGGTTATCGGTTTGAAGGGTAGTATGATTAATAGGCACTTAACATAATTTGGGTGCTCTCGGATTAAGCACTACTGGGTTCAAGCAATGAATAGATACGGTTATATGAGAAATCGGTACTTTCTGTAACAGAATACCAACTCTCCCATTGAGTGCTACAGGGAAAATGCTATTACAAGAGTTAACGCTTCTCTTATGTAACATAATCTAATCTTAAATCTGCGTCATGAATCTCCAACCCAAAAGAGGCCCCCTTTTACATTTTAAAGCTTATTTATAACTCTTTCTAAGGTGGTGTATGTAAGATGGTAGTGTAGTCATTTATTATATTGAAGTTTAGACATTTAATAATTTGCTGAGTCCTTCAATGTTTGAATGGCAAAGGTCAGGGGAATCAAGAAAGCTGAAGCTAGTAAGAGAGCAAAGAATGTATACAGCATTCTACACAATAAGTGTCAATACTTGTTTTTCATTTGTGAACAGCTATGTAGTGCGGGAAGGAGAAGCACTAAAGCTTTTAGAGGCTTTTTTCCCCCTTTTTTTTAGAAGCAGTCTGTAGATTTCCAATTGAGCTGTGGGGCAATTAGGATCCAGTAATTTAAACCCAAGGTTTCACCTAAAAATACAGGCAGCATAAAGCAGTGTGTTACTCAGCTTAACTCACTATTAATCGGGTTGCTTGAAGACCCAGTGCTGCTAATAAACCCCCTTCTGATTTATATAATGGCTAAGATTTAAAGTGAAACTAGTGTAACTGAACATTGGAGATCAAGATCAACAGAAGATACCACCAGTGTCCAAATGGCTGGAACATTTGCTAGATTAGGAAAGCTGTGGTGAAGTCGAATACAGAAATTCACAATTATAAATTAATTGCAACTCAGTTTACTTCATTTACTATGATGATCTCTGCATTTCTCAACGTTGTCTCACAAAATCCCTGCAGAAGGCAGAGAAGATCAATATCCCAATACTGCTTCTAAAAGAGGTTTGATAAGCAGAATTTGCTTCCTGTATGTATCAGGGATGACCAGACAAGACAGGTCCACTAACTGTTCAACTACAACTAGCTTTAGGCTTGCAAAGTATTATGGGAATGGACGTGCTACAACAACAGGTGATCTACATGATGGGTATCCCAATTACAATTTTTTTTTTTTTTTTAAACATGTTTTAAAACCTTTTATTCCTTCAAATTTTACTTTTTCCATGCATATGTACTGCACACCTCTTGTAATGCTTCAAATCCTAATACTAAAAAAGATAACGTTTGAAAGAAAAATGGAAAATCGCCTTTCAAAACAAAAAAAACTCTCCACCTCCAAAACAGGTGGTAGAGTTTTAGAATTCACATTGAAGCAGTAAGGATTTCTTCATTTTGGTGGCATCTGACCTTTTCCTAAACTTGCCCAGTCAGTACTGCCTTTTGACAGCAGAGCACCATGTTGGATACCAGCGTAATCCTCCGAAAAAGGGATTGTGACAGGAAATCCAATAGGAGACATTAACCTCTGAAATCCACTGCAGGAAAAGCAGCCATGAAACACTCGCTTAGCTGTAGTAACCACTGTTTGAATTGTTTTGAAATTAACAGGAATTTTAAATTATTTTATTGTACTCTACCATAATTTATGGTATAAACTATTAGATGGTACCCTACGTTTAAAAAATGCAAAGTTATTTTCACTTAAAGTACGATAGGCTGATACACTGCAAGAAATTAGTCTGTACAATGTACTGGAAAAAGTGCTAGCAAATATATAAAACTATTTCTAGGGTTAGTACAGAGCCTATTGGATAGAGGATATTAATATCAAATATGGCTGCCATAGTATTTGCTCTTGCATCTGTTTCCATCAACGTCATATGATGTACTAAGCAATCTGAAAGGTAACAGAATTGCACACACAAATAGTGGTCCGATTTGTTGAAAAGGAAGCAAGGTTAGGCAAGTAGAAGTAAGTACATATGTTAAACATATTTGCTACCAGTTTCCTAGCACAATATATAAAAAAGCCTAATGCTTACCTGACATAGCTTTAAGAGTGGGACTAGAATAACATAGGCCGAACCATACATGTTTCCCTAAACATATCGAACCATTCAAGCATGACATATGCACATAAAAAAAAAAAAAAGGAACAAAACAAACATACATATGGATCATAATGGACAATAATAGAATAACATGGGCGGTTTGCTGATAGCCTCCTTACTTCAATTTCAGAGCCCAAAACCTGGCTGTTATGAATATCATGGTGTCTGCTTTGTTAATATATGGACATGGAACTGGCGGATCCTGCTTGGCGTGTGGAAGATCACAGGATCACTAGATACGTACAACTTCATAGTCCAAAGGAATTGCTCTAGTGTTGCTTCTAGACTAGTTGCTGGTTGATCTTTTTCCTGAAAGACACAGATGCATTCCTAAATATAAAATGTGGCATTGACCAATGGTTACCATACCAGTTCCTCAAGGGAAACTACATGTACATGATGTGTCATTATTATTCCCACTGGAAAAGAATTACAAAACATTACTAAATCCTGGGCCATTGGTGTGCCTTGAGGCCGGTTTGGGAACCACTGACTTAAATAAACCCATCAACACAAGCACATTCAAAGAATTTATCAGTCTTCGTGTTAACACAGCCTTTACTATCCCTGCTAGCGCTGTCACAAAAATACAGAACTAAAAAGTAATTCTGAGGTCAAAGTTCTAAACGAGGTACCACTGTTATGGAAACCACCCGTATGTCCCTGACAATTATTCCACATTTAACACTATTCTCCAAATCTGCTCTGCATACACACGGATCTTTTTAGAGATGAATGTGATACAAAACACTTGTGAGATATAGGCTGAGTAGCCCTGGCTTAGACTTATCAGAGAGGCCACACGAGAGGTTTAAATGGCAATAAAGGCACATACTTGCAGCTGTGGAAGAGTATCCATGTTCTAAGGCTAGGCAGTAAGGAGACACCCAAGATCAACTTGTAAAAAGAGTACCCACTAGATTGGCATTGGGAGCTCCAACAGACCAAGACGTCATCTAATTTTTACAACTTGTTTGTAAGCAAACATTAAATATCTTGCTGCTTTATAAAATTAAAACCAAAGGAGATTGTCCCTTAAAACTACTACGGATTGTAATTTTTAAATTCCTGCTTTTCAGTTTACTAGCAAGCAGGAGGGATCGCTTGCTCAGAGGGTTACAGATAAAAACAGTCTGTTCCTACCTCACCAGGATTTCAGGAGCTAAACATTCTCTTTAGTTTGCTTAGGAATCCCTCCTTGTTCTGCCCTGCCTGCTCAGCCTCAGGACTCTCTTCCCCAGCTGCAGGTCTGTGCTGGGCTCTGCCTATTGGGCACAAAACAGCAAACAGGCATCAGGGGTTTTTACTACTGAAACACGTCCTCGCATAGTCTAAAACATCCAGTTCTTTGACGTGAATACAGATGCAAAAAAATATGCCCAATATGTGCACAAAACAAAGAGCGTAGGAAAAACGTGTTTAGAGCCGTCTAATTGATAAACATGTAACTAAAACTAATGTGACCATTTCATATAGCAGGAACCGGCTAAGGTGAAAACATAGAATAAACAGAAGTTAAGGCACAGACTCCAAAAAGCTATGTCAAAGAAAAGAAAGGAGAAGCTAAAAAGAACTATAGTATAAAGCCCAATAAAGGAGGTCCATAGGGTAGCTGTGAGCAAGAAATAGACAGGTGGGTGCACACAGACAGGGGAACCTTCCCTTCAATTATGGGTATAGTCAAAGTCTTGGGCTTTAGAAGTCTGGAGATGATTACGTTCTGGTACTAAATCAGAGGGGCACAGGTTAACTGCTACAACATTTTAAACTGGGAAAGTTAAAAAAATAGAACCGAGTTAGATCAAGTTATTAGAGAGGCCATGCTAGCTTAACACTAAAACACAAACATCAATAAAGTTATATTGGTTTTGTATCTGGACTTAGGATGGAATGTTACAATAACTTACCTGTTGATGTATTTGTGATCCCATTCACTGTGCCCTCCACTTCTGTTTCATCCTCAGCAAAGCTTGCCATTAGTACCCGCTGACGGTCAGTTAACTGCCTGAGAACATAGAGCAGAAAAAGGATCAAAAAAATAAAAAAAAAATAAGTCTTTATCGAGAGAGAAAAAAAAAACCCCAAACCAAACTAAAACAAAGCAGACAATGGAATAGTTCCTAAACAGCAGATGACAGAGTATTTTTTTCTGAATGCAATTTCTCTTACTTTGGGATACGGATCTTTATGTGGATGTAGTGATCTCCATAACCATAGCTATTCATTCTTGGAATTCCTTTGCCGCTTATTCGAATCCTCTGATCTGCTTGTGTTCCAGCTGGTATCTGAAGGAGTAGCGAGGTGGGTAAAATAAAAAGAGAGGCGTCAACAACTGGCAAACAAATCTCCAGATACAGAAACCCTGGTGCTATTCTATGTAGGTTTGTGCATGAGCTGGTTAAAAGCTAAAACATTGCCTGTTAATATCGTAACATTTTAATCACCCATTCTGTGTGGCACTGCCTATTTTATCGATCAGGATTTATAATACCCCATTTTTGTGACTAGGGCAAAAAAAAAAAAAACAAGAAAATGCTAAAAGTCAAACTTACAGCAACATTGATTGGGTCGTAAAGTCCTTGCGCACGGGCCGTGCCTCCCAAGACTGCTTGAGCGATTGACACAAACAGGTCTGAGTGGATATCTGCCCCGTCTCGTCTAAAGATGGGGCTTTTCTGAACCTGCAACAAGATGTGAGTTTACTGATAGAATTCTTTCACAAAAACATCAGAGCTAGGAATGGCCATTTTAGGAATGGCCATTTTGAGATAGCTATAAATATATACTCACGCACACATCCGAACATATACACATCGAATGCTCAATTTACACGACTTTTAACAGATTCTTTTAAAAACAATTAAAGGACACAATATTTAATAATACAACATTCTGTAGGAACAGGATATACGTAGCGTTAGATTTCATGTCTCTTAAATATCTAATTAAGTTGATGGTTTAGCAATTTAGGAGCCACAAACATGTAGAAGCCAGTCTGGTTTTTGCAGGTGGTAAGGAAATGTAATATCCACAGAGCAGTGATAAAATGTAAACCCCCCCCCACCTCCCCAAAAAACCACACACTCAGAAAAGTGAGCTGTGGCTAGGTGCAGTACCACTTTGTCCGATAGATACCTAGATCACATTTGATTTTATACAGTGTTTATTGAGAGAGGAGATGCACAGATCAAAGTGAGTGATGCAAGACCCTGTAACCTGCACTTGGCTTTAAGTGAAGCAGATTGAGCAAATCTTGAATGAACCCCTACTGCCCTCTGCTGTACAGAGTTCAATAATGCAATAAGCACGTTCTGAGAGCATAAATGAAGCTAAGAATTTATACAGTTACTACCTGGGTGCACTGGAGCAATGTTTGGGCACAAGATAAATAAGAAATTCCTACTTACTCGAAAAGTTATAAATATTTCTTTCTTTCCCACTGGCATTCGCACTGTCTGCCCATCTTCCACACCTGTGAGAAAAAAAAATACATATAAAAAAAACAAAAAAACAACTATGTCAGATAATTTAATTAGGAGACAATGTACTTTGACCTCAGAGATATTTGTATGCATGTGTCCAACATTTTTGAGACCGAGCTGCTTCTTTAAGATTGCCCTTACAAAAGGTATCTATTCAAAATCAGTGCCAGCACGAGTCACATTGAATATAACAAGAGTTCTGATTACGCTCAGACTGTTAAAACAGGAAGAAACAAAACGGAGGAAAGGCCACATTTTGCACACAGCGGACAGGTGAGACAGCTCCCTGCTGCAGCAGACTCTAGCATGTGCCCTGGCCTTGAACAACATACAGCTGGACAATACAACCACAAAACTAGCGAATGTTCTTACCCAGCACTGTCTGCCCTGTGGTCCCAAACCTCTTTAGAACTTTTAGAAGACACAGGGTCTTGTTTCTTTCTTTGCCTTATTTCCTACACTTATCTGCCGGTTAAATTAATGTCATATTTACACGGTTTATGCAACTATTTTCCCACCTTGTATGTACTTGAAATTATTTCATGTTTCTCTAGATTGTTAAGATATTTATGTTTGTTGATTAATACAAACAAGTTATACAAAAAAAAAATATATATATATATATATATATATATATATATATATATATATATATATATAAACTAAATGTATCCTTTCTGGTTAAACAATCTGATATTAGATCAGAGCACCAACCTGCAGGGACAGGAACCGTTACAGACTTCCTCTGCTTGGTTTGACCGGTTCCTCTACAAGACAGGCAAGGGTTAGTCATCACGGATCCCCTCCCACCACAGCGCCGGCATGTCGACCGCATAACGAATGGGCCTGTGTTAATAGTCTCCTGCAGAAAGATAACGGGGAATGAGAACGGTTGCTCTGAGGCCTGAGACGCATTGCAAACAATCTACTATAGACGGGCAATGCGCTCACGATCTCCTTACCATGCCAGTGCCATTGCAGTAGTGACAATGCTGCAATTTAGTTCCTGGTTCGTTGCCTTTACCATCACACCTCTGACACGTGTCTGTGATATTTACAGAGATATCCTTGTTCACTCCCTTTGCTGCTTGAATGAATGTTAGATCCATGATGTACTGTGAATTGAAAAAAGTTTGTAAATTCCCTGTCATGCTTGTAGCTAATAATTACTAATAGAAGTGGGTAAATTTAGGAATCAGTTGAGTATATAACATATAACATTTTGATTAAACTTAAAAAAGGGTTAGAAGAAAGTACACACTATGTTTAAACATTTCCTGGTTATTTCTATTTTGTGCTTAGAATGTATTTTCCCCCGGAATGCACCTTGCGTCTCTCTAACATTGTGCCAAAAAAAAAAAAAAGGTATACATATTTCAGAGCACTATTTGATTTTTATTTAAGTAAATGTTTTAGGTGACATCATTCACGGTTTTATTAATCATTTTTTAAAATCAAAACCAAGTAACTGCTAAACCTTTTATCTTGTTTGAGCCATACTGACAGTACTGATTCTCCAACTAGGTGGAGGGCACCCTGTTTAAGCATTTAATTGCTGCAGAGTTTAGCATTGTCACTCAACAGCAAATATCATGAAAGTAGGGATTTCATATTACAATAGGAAAGATAAAATGTATTTTTTTTTCTGACCAGGAATCAGTGTTCATTATGTTACAGTAGTGAAATAAAAATCTTGAAATAAATGTCTCACCTCCTGTGGCTGCTCAAATATTGAATTGAAGTCTCCAAAAGGTGACCCACCAGAAAATTCTCCAAAGATCTTACGAAAGAGTTCTTCTGGATCCACACTGGGACCGCCTTTCCAAAAATGTTGTCCCCCTCCACCTGCCCCAGCAGCAAAGTCAGCAGTACCATAGGTGTCATACTGCTTGCGTTTAACTTCGTCACTTAAAACCTGAAGAAAAGTGTATGAACAGATTAAAGTAACACATGTCCTTCCCATAACGTGCAAGTATCAACTAAAACAACAAACTGAAAGAAATCTGACTGAGCACTATGCGAGTACAATGTGGACCTAGAAATCACTTTGCAAACACCATGTGGGAACCAATGGAATTTTCCTGTTGATCGCTCTACATTTAGAACTTTACCCACAGAATCAATCTTTATAAAAACCCATGCAACCTACCAGCTCCAAACATTTATATGTAACTACACTGCTAGTATAGAAGTCCTGCCTCAAGACGGATAACCCTTCATCCCAAGCACCCACCCATTCACAACGTTTCCCCCCTTTAAATAATCTTAAGACAGATACAATTCACCATATGCCCCCCCTTCCAATGAGGTTATATACACATGACATCAAAGTACCATAACCACTACCGGGAGTGTGTCAATTTATTGATTAGCCAAACCCTGTTAATGTGAACAAATAGTACAGACAGATAGTGAGGAAGTAATATTTCCTCATTATTTCATCAGCGGTATAGGGTCTGGACTTAGGAAAACTGCTTTAAAATAGTTCCACAAAAATGGAGGCACTGGCCCATTAGCCTCCTAGCAACACAACTGCTTGAATAAGCTGTAGTATTTATGGAGCCGAGATTATCCCATTCAGGGAAAGTGATCAGTGCTGTAACAAATCATGTTTAGAGGAACATCTGAGGTTACACAGTAAGGAACTTATCTCATCCTCTAACACAAACTGTGCAGCTGAAAAGTTATTCCCTTCCATAAACATATTAGCGTGATATTCGTTTACCTCATATGCTTCTGCTAATTGTGAGAATTTCTCCTTAGCCTGAGGGTCTTCCTTGTTGGTGTCTGGATGGTATTTTTTGGCTAGCTGCACGGTAAGAAAAGAGATGTTCGTTAGATACATAAATCTATCACAAAACACAGCAGTAAAACTGTTCTTCTACAATCCATTATCACCCACTGGGGGATCCAATCCTTACAAAGCGTGATCAGAGAAATACTTACTGCATGTAGTATGCTAGCTGAGGCTAGGACATTGATTTCTCTAGTAATGAATGGACAGAGAGTCTCCCTGCACTGAAGACTGAAGTATGCATTCCTGCAATCTCCAGTTCTTTTCATCAGAATTCATTCAGCACAACTTTATAGGATACACCAGCCCCATTGATGCCTAAGAATCATCCCATTTGTATGAGACACTAATAAAGGAATACTGCATATCGCCCATTAAGCAACTGGGTCTTGGGGTATGTCAAGCCAATTATTAGCGTGAGCCACCAAAGTTTAAGGAGGACAAATTAATGGACAATCAGAGCTTGAAAGCGACTTGCACAGGGTAAGGTGAAAAACAGGTCTCCTGTCGATGCACAAAGAAGCTTAAAACTGAAGGGGCAGGGTTATAACTCCAGCAATGTTTACCAATTGCTGCAGCTGTAAATAAGTGTGTGCAGAAAGAAAGGATAGGTTTCTATAGCGCTTGGAGCATCCTTATAAAATTGATATACATCATTGAAATCAGTTTTTCAGCAGGTAAGGATTTGACGTTAGCCCAAGCTTGCTTGTCCTACTCAACTCCCTTTCTAATTAGGGGCTAAGCGTAAAAGTTCCACTGTGCCGGAGGCGGTTTGCATTGGAAAACTTAAATACATGTATTTTACATGTAGATAAGAATACAAAAATCAATAATGTAAACAGACACAACAAAAGAAGTGTGGCCCACAGCTCAGGGAGTGATGACATAATAGGTCATATGATGAGAAGACATGGATTAACCCCCAATATACACAGACTCTCTAACCGTTAATCATAATTCCCATAATTATGCCACAAGACTCCAATAGAATGATGGCAGTTACACAACAACACAGAATGTTAAACGTTCAGATAGAAACTTACGATATCAAGCTATACAAATGTACAGTATCTCACTATGTACTATTCTCCTATTTGACTACGTTGCTTGTGGAACCTTAACTGACATTGCTGATGCAATCAAGGTACTTTGGAGTCTTGTGGTTTCATGGATACCAAGTAAGCAATTTAACTTTTAACTATGGGATTTGCATGATATTTGACGGTTAGAAGTATATATATTAGTGATGACATTGCAATATTCTGTGTTTTTAAGCATATTTGGTTAGCTTGCTTTTAACTTCGTAACTATTTCACTACTATTTTGTCATTTTTATTTTAAGACTGTCTGGGTTAGTCACGAACGTGAGAATTGTCAGGAATTTAAAGCAGATTTAGACCAATTTTTCCAAACTAAAAGCATAGCTGACTTGGAAAATGTTCCCAGTTCAACAAATTTTGGCCTCGAATTTCAAGACCAAATAACCCTGTGTGAAATTTGCTCGGTTTTATTTTTTTGTCCAACCAGAGCTTGACTGACTGCTTCAGAAACCCTGCTTCATACTACCACAGCAGAAAAAGAGCATTGTACTCATGAGAACTAGACTAAAATCACAGCTCAGAATGTTAAACGTAAAAGGAAAAGGAACTGGTTTCGTTATAACTTTAACAGTCATAGTGCCATTAACTATTAACCCGATTCCTAGTGTCACACAAACTTATATAAACAAGTCTATTTGCAGCAGTGCAGAAACAGCAAATATGGGATATTTTACCTGGTAATAAGCCTTCTTTATGTCCTTTTGGCTGGCATTCCTAGGGACTCCCAGAATCTGGTAAAAATCAGCTTTGTTGTAAGAGATTGAACTGGTATGAAATTGGGAGGTGCCTACAAATTGGAAGCAGAAGCACAAGATGTCTTAAATGTATATAATGGCATCGGTTAGCTGAAATGATTTAGCACTTGAAATAGATCATCTAACTGATGACATTTCAATAAATAAATAAATAAATAAATAAATAAAAGAAAATCACTTAAAGGGACTCTCCAGTGCCAGGAAAACACTCAGTTTTCCTGGCACTGCAGGTCCCCTATCCCTCCCACCCCGCATCCCCAGTTGCTGAAGGGGTGAAAACAGTTTTCCCGCCGGCTGACATGATGAAGGGGAGGAGCTGCAGCGGCGGGGGAGACTGATCCCACCCGCCAGCTGATGAGACCTAATGCGCATGCATCGCAATGCCGCACATGCGCATTAGAGCTCACCATAGAAAAGTATTGAAAATGCTTTTCAATGCATTCCTATGGGGAATTGAGCGACGCTGGAGGTCCTCACACAGCACGAGGACGTCCAGCAACGCTCTAGCACAGAAAACCAGTGCTATGAAGGAGGATGTGCCCTCTAGTGGCTGTCTAGTAGTAGACAGCCACTAGAGGAGGAGTTAACCCTGCAAGGTAATTATTGCAGTTTATGAAAACTGCAATTATTACAGTTGCAGGGTTAAGGGTAGTGGGAGTTGGCACCCAGACCACTCCAATGGGCAGAAGTGGTCTGGGTGCCTGGAGTGTCCCTTTAATTTCCTCCATAGCAATAACTTGCTTTGTAAACAAAGACAATATGATGCACTTTTAGTAAGGATGATTGTATCAATCCCTGTAAAACTTTGCAATGTTCTGGACACTCCATTATTATTATTATTGCCATTTTTATAACGCCAACAAATTCCGTAGTGCTTTACATTATTGACAAACAGTCTCTCTTAAAAGATTTATTTCGGATCACGGCACATATTAATTAAAAGATCACTGACTTCTGAACGTTTATGGAACTCAGGAAACAATTAGCAAAACGTGCATATTCTAGAACATGTGCAATAACTTGGGGAAACATCGCATTCGTTTTTTCATTGATTATCATTTCTTTATTAAAGCAAATAAAATTGGATAAACCACACGTTTTTTTTCTCCCCCTTCAATCTACCAATTTCTCCCTTTGTAGTAAAGTGTTCTTGCTACCATTGCTATAGGAAAGGTTAATCTTTTATCCGCCCCAGTAAATCGAGAATAACAACCTGTAATACCAGAGACTCCCTATGTACAGTATGCTCACCAAACTTCATATCTGGAAATTGTATAATGCAACATCTGTTTTTCCCTCAAAGTGAAGCTTTTAAAAACTTTTTTTTTTTGTTTTTAGAGACCCACAGTCTAACCCAGGTTTCACCAAACTCAGGCCCTCCAGATGTTGCTAAACTACAACTCCCATGATTCTATGAATGAAATAGATAAGCTGGGAATATTGGGAGCTGTAGTTCAGCAACATCTGGAGGGCCGGAGTTTGGGGAAGCCTGGTCTAGCCTCTTATTTAACATATGAGCCCAATGCCAAATCCCTATGCACATTCAAATAACTGGAGGTTCTTTTAGTATCACTCCAGTGGCCATTCAAGTGCACGCTTCCCTGCCATGTCAAGGCAAAACCTCTTAGACGAGTCCTATACTAACACTTCACCTTGCAGCTTTCTGTTCAAAGGTAAAATCTCTAATGAGGTTTCTATTATAATAATTACTGGTATTTATATAGCGCCAGCATATTCCGTAGCGCTTTACAATATTATCAAAGGGGGCGATTTAACAATAAATGAGACAATTACAAAAAAAAAAAACTTACAGGAACAATAGGTTGAAGAGGGCTCTGCTCAAACGCGCTTACAGTCTAGACTGCTGTATGTATTGGGGCTAATGTGTACTATATTCATTGCTGCCACCAAGGAGTAGTAGGGGGTTAATTTTGTATGTTCATTTATAACATGACCTGCTGTATTTTCAACAACAAATACTGAGAGCAGTGTAAACGTTGCCCCCCCCCAGCAGTTGTTGGGCTGTAGGTAACCTGCATATCAGGCTCTCTCTCAGTGTACTCCAATGCTGACCACATGGTGGACACTCCAACCTCTGCAGGACTACATTGCCCAGGGATGCTTTGCAAGACACTAAAAGTTGGCAAAGTGTTTCTAAGGACCAACCTTTCGGCCCCCCTGCCCAGCCCAGCCCTGGTAAGAGGGTAACAGATAAAGCTCAGCCATGACGCTGGCTGCAATCACACACCATAAGCACTGCATGCCATGCATGGTGCAGGGGGTCAGTGACCTGCCATCCACTCACCCAGTGCAGGGGCCCGGCCTGCTCCTCGCAGGGCCACCCACAGCGCCGACTGAGCCCCTGAGGGCCACCGCTGAGCCCCTGAGAGCAGCTGTCCCCTGGCTCCAGACACGGCAAGGGACAACCAACGCGAGGAGCAGCGAGCCGCCATCTTGCCCGAGCTTTACCCACGGACTGCGCATGCGCCGACACCGGCAAGGAAAGTCATTAGGACACCGGAAATACAATGCTTCACTCGGGAACCTTCCTAGGCCTCACGTGACCCGCACACCCACACACAAAAAAAATGTCTCCACCTTAGCGCGCACGTTTGATAGAACACCGCCATTTTTTCAGAGACCAAAAAAACATGGCTTCTTATGGCCAGTGTAGCCGACAAAATGGCTGGTGTACAGGAGACCATTATGGAGTTCAATGTGTAAAACTTTATTTATATCCAGGGTTGTAAGATATTCTATCTTTGCAGTTGTGTTTTTTTTTTGTTTGTTTTTTAGAGAGAGTTCTAAACAGCCGAGAAGGCAACAGTCTCAAGTGGTAGCTGGTGGCGGCCATTTTGATGGTGGGCAAATTATTTTCAGTAACTTTATACGTTGCCTAGCTACAGTCCCTTAAAGGCACAGTCATGGGAACCTTGCTGCCCCCCTTTTAGGCACAAAGGTCCCAGATGTGTTTTTTGGACACACTGAGTTATAAGCAATTGGAAATGAGAAGGGGGTGGTAAGCTCAGGGAGCCTTCATAATACTCTTTCAAGGCTGTTTGCTGATGGATAACTTAATTAAACATTTACTCACTGTAACCTGTAATCCATTGCTTCTTAATAAAGTATTTAAAAAAAACACCCCTTCCAGGCAAAGGTGGCCCCACTAAGGGACCAACAATGCTACAGTAAAATATGTAAATATATAAATAAATATATAAAGACAGGCTACTTATGATACCAAAGAAAGTTAAACACATTTTAATGAGGGAAGCACCTCAAAATATGTTTCAGTTCAAAATATATATCAATATTGATTTTTCTTAAAAAAATTTTATATGTGATATATATTTTTTCATATTTTGGGAAAAAAAAATATTTTAAAAGTTTTAAAACTTCTAAAGTAAGTTAACATAAATAATAAATTATTACATAAATAATCCATGCAAAAGAGAATTTACCACACTCACGGACGATCCCAGGAAAATAAGCAGAAATTGGTTTATTGTAAAACAAAATTTTTTTAAAAAAATGATATATATGTAAGAAAAAAAACCCAAAATGAATATATGTGTAATGAGTAATAACGTACAAAAACAGACAAAAAAATAAATGTGACTTGGACACGTTTCGCAGCTACCGAACAATACTTCTTTAGGATCGATAAGGGGTCAACCTGAATGATTTGAGTCTTTTTTTTTTTACCAATATTACTATGTAACAATAAGTACGGCTGTGTATTATTCCTATATACAGAAGGGCAACACTTTACGTGCTTGTCATCAGCATGAATACATTATCAGGGTTATTTACCAATATGAGTATTGTTGGGACTTGGAGAATTTTGCCAGTTCTGCAATTTTGACATTAAATTTGAAATTCATTTTGACTTCCCAACAATTCTCACTTTAGCAAACAACCCTGTACGCATATCCTGGAAAACATGATGAATGTGTCAACAGGCAGCCCTAGCTACATCTGATTGGGTAAATATATTTTATCTTGTGTAGTTCAATATTATTTACTCACTTAATGCAGAATTAACTAAACTCAGAATTGAGCAAATTAAATCCAAAAGGTAAAATCCAAGCTAAAACAGCAAATCTATGACTAAAACGGAGTCAGATCATTTTTCCAAATCAAATATTTTTAAGCTCGATTTTGTCATTTGGGTTTTATTTACCAGTTTTTGGAATTTATAGAGCAGGGGTGCCCAAAATGTATTTCCCCAAATGTTGCAGAACTACAACTTCCATGATGCTTTGCATGTCTTTAGAATGCTTTTTAAAATGACAAAGCACCATGGAAGCTGTAGTTTGAAAACATCTGGGGATCTACCTTTTGGGCACCCCTGTTATAGAGTAACCCTGGCTGTTTTAATCCAGTAAGGCGAATAAAGAAGAATTGACGATGGTAGTTATGGTGATCAGTTATTAAAGGGTCACTTATCAACATAACCACAACAACTCGCTGTAGATCAGTTATTAAAAGGACACTTATCAACATAACCACAACAACTCGCTGTAGATCAGTTATTAAAGGGGCACTTATCAACATAACCACAACAGCTCGCTGTAGATCAGTTATTTAAGGGACACTTATCAACATAACCACAACAGCTCGCTGTAGATCAGTTATTAAAGGGACACTTTTCAACATAACCACAACAGCTCGCTGTAGATCAGTTATTAAAGGGACACTTATCAACATAACCACAACAGCTCGCTGTAGATCAGTTATTAAAGGGGCACTTATCAACATAACCACAACAACTCGCTGTAGATCAGTTATTAAAGGGGCACTTATCAACATAACCACAACAGCTCGCTGTAGATCAGTTATTAAAGGGACACTTATCAACATAACCACAACAGCTCGCTGTAGATCATTTATTAAAGGGACACTTATCAACATAGCCACAACAGCTCGCTGTAGATCAGTTATTAAAGGGGCACTTATCAACATAACCACAACAGCTCGCTGTAGATCAGTTATTAAAGGGACACTTATCAACATAACCACAACAGCTCGCTGTAGATCAGTTATTAAAGGGACACTTATCAACATAACCACAACAGCTCGCTGTAGATCAGTTATTAAAGGGACACTTATCAACATAACCACAACAGCTCGCTGTAGATCAGTTATTAAAGGGACACTTATCAACATAACCACAACAGCTCGCTGTAGATCAGTTATTAAAGGGGCACTTATCAACATAACCACAACAACTCGCTGTAGATCAGTTATTAAAGGGACACTTATCAACATAACCACAACAGCTCGCTGTAGATCATTTATTAAAGGGACACTTATCAACATAACCACAACAGCTCGCTGTAGATCAGTTATTAAAGGGGCACTTATCAACATAACCACAACAACTCGCTGTAGATAAGTTATTAAAGGGACACTTATCAACATAACCACAACAGCTCGCTGTAGATCATTTATTAAAGGGACACTTTTCAACATAACCACAACAGCTCGCTGTAGATCAGTTATTAAAGGGACACTTATCAACATAACCACAACAGCTCGCTGTAGATCAGTTATTAAAGGGGCACTTATCAACATAACCACAACAACTCGCTGTAGATCAGTTATTAAAGGGGCACTTATCAACATAACCACAACAACTCGCTGTAGATCAGTTATTAAAGGGACACTTATCAACATAACCACAACAGCTCGCTGTAGATCATTTATTAAAGGGACACTTATCAACATAACCACAACAGCTCGCTGTAGATCAGTTATTAAAGGGGCACTTATCAACATAACCACAACAACTCGCTGTAGATAAGTTATTAAAGGGACACTTATCAACATAACCACAACAGCTCGCTGTAGATCATTTATTAAAGGGACACTTATCAACATAACCACAACAGCTCGCTGTAGATCAGTTATTAAAGGGGCACTTATCAACATAACCACAACAACTCGCTGTAGATAAGTTATTAAAGGGACACTTATCAACATAACCACAACAGCTCGCTGTAGATCAGTTATTAAAGGGGCACTTATCAACATAACCGCAACAGCTCGCTGTAGATCAGTTATTAAAGGGGCACTTATCAACATAACCACAACAACTCGCTGTAGATCAGTTATTAAAGGGACACTTATCAACCGCAACAATTCACTGTAGTGGTTATATTGCCTACAATCCTCTGGCACTATTTAGAGATGTAAAATATAAAAAATTTTCTTCAACTCACCCAGAGACATTAATAATTCTGCATTATCGATGTCAGTTTTGCCCAATCTGAAACACACTGATTGGTTGAGGGTGCTGGTTCTTTAACATTTTGGTATTAAATTGCGGGAATTCTCCAGGGATTTCTAGGCATCCTATCAATACAGCGAGTAGGGCGGCTGTCCATTTATGGGGCTTCCTTTGGAATCTCTTCAGTAATTCATACAAACGATTTCCCTCTGGAAACATATGAATTAGTACAGACAGCACTTTTCCTGTACTGACCATCAGCACAAATAATTTACATGTTCAGGAAGACATGGTGTATCTGACAGCCAAATTATGTCTGTTTTTTTTTTTTTATAAACCTACTTGCAATTAGAAAGTTGTATTTTTCAATAACAGTTAATGATAGTGTCTTGTAATATCTTTTGTTATTGTACTAGGCAAACATAATGTTGGAACTTCAAGGGAGATCCTCCCTTTATCTCCACGTTCTATTATTTTACAATTGTATCACTGGACTAATATGGCTAGTGTTTCAAATTCATTACCATTTTTGCAATCATAGAAGTAATGAATAAAAAAAACGAGACGCAGTTCGCAGTGTATTCCTGCTTATTGCAAGCTGTGACACATATTCTGGGTAATATTAATTGTAACAGTGATGAGATTGTTCATATTGTCTAATTTTAGTCAAATGAGGCATTACTAGTCGATGATAGAAGATTGGATTGTGCAGGGCTGGAACAGGGAGGAGCAGTAGATGACCTATGTCTGGCATCGCTTGGATGCTGTCTCAGGGGTTGGGAGGGGACTCAGGGGAGAGACAGAGAGAGGGAGAGAGGAAGGAAGAGAGACAGCAAGTAAAGCAGAGTGATAGAGAAGAGAGAGAGAGGAAGGAAGAGAGACAGCAAGTAAAGCAGAGTGATAGAGAAGAGACAAGCAGCAGATCAGGAGCTGACAGACAGCTAGGGAAGGGTTAAAGACTGTCAGCATCATGAACCGCTTCAAGGCATCTAAATTTAAGAACTGCATCCCCAAGATCCCCAAAAAGCAGGTAAATAGGGTGAGGGGGTGGAGGCTGACACTTGCATTTGTTTGGGTAGGTGGGGGGGAAAAACTTTGCTTGGAGTGCTGGGGGCTAATATTTCCACTCACGTGACATGCAAGTATAGAGAGGCTTAATGGATGATGGGAGGTGTAGAGCAGGGTAGGTACATGGTAGGTAGTCCAGGCACCCTCAGGGCTGGGGGCTCCACATTTCCAGGGATGACACATTAGCAAGGAGGGGTCTCTAGTCTAGTAAAATAACTTGATTTTCCTGGTTCTACTAATAGTACAAACAGGGATGAATGGGGTTAATAATGTGTCTAACAGCAGGTA